AGCGTTTTGATGACAGACCTTTTGAGAGCGCCCGGAAATACATTAGCCATCTCGTTTAGCTGAAGCTTAAAGGGTCTCCGAGACTCATTGCCAGTAGGCTGAGTGGTGGGATATGGAGATGACTGTAAGATTTCCGTGTGGGCGGAAAGCGGGACCTGGTGCTGAGCAATGCGAGGTTCAAGGTGCTCCTGACAATCTATCCGAGTAAGTGGCATCTGCTCCTGTCGATTTTTGAGAGTTTGTTGTTGTAGTTGTCTGTCATTTGGAAGAGCAAATTCAGAGGTAGGCCCAATCTGCACGGGCAAAGGGTCGCTAAACGTTTCACCAGATGCATTGAGCTCGGTAGCATCATATTTTGATGCTTTTTTTACCCGAGGGTCACCAGCTATCGAATTCGAGATAGTTAAGTCAATGCAGCTCGAAAGATTTTCTCCAAGCCCAATTTCCGGAGGGGGACTGATGCCAAATGTGCCACTTGGAGTGGTGTTTACAACCGTAGTAGTTTGGGTAGTGCCAAGAATTACAGAGGAAAGAGGTAGCGGACGTAATGCAGCAGCCGTTAAGTGGCCTCGCAGACGAGGATCATCGAAGCGGTGTGGGAGATCCTCCACCTATATTTTAAAAGATAGCATGGATAAATATAAGAATTACAACAATTTAGTCTGCGTATACCTTTAGGATAAAAATATCAGAAAATAGTATAAAATTATCTGAATGAATGGAGGATAAATAAGGGGCAAAACTGACCTAAAATGGAGACTATTATACTATACATCACATGCATGCAATTAATTCGTGAATTAAATTAATGCTAATAAATGGAATATGTAGTAAAATTATGAGCCTAGCAAAGCCTTATAAATTGGTGGTGAAAGCGTAGAATCGTATATTGATAAAATCGATTTCCGTGAATCCAGTAAATATCGGTCATTGAATGACATCAATGGGACTATGGAACATGTATTAGCTTTTGACTTGTTCTAGAGAAGCTTTAATTCACGAATTAAGGATGTAGAAACGAATATATAAAGCATTAAAGGAAAATATTATATGAGTCTGAAGTGTAACTTAAGGTCAAGGAATGAACCTGTAGTTGCATTAGTTGATAAGGGATTTTGAATATCGCTTCCAAAGAAATTAGCCTCCAGGGGATTTCAGCCAGTGGCGGGGCGTGATGGTTGACCACAGGCAATAGGGCAAGGTTAGAGAGAGGATCCGATGCCGGAGGACTGCAGACTGAGTGAGCCGGGTGGACTACAGTAGCAGGTGTTGTGGCTACTGTAGAGTTAATGGTAAGTTCAAATTGTTCTGGGCGGCTTGGTGAGACCAGTCCGGTACAGGAAGATAGGGGCGTTTTGCCACTCGGCCGTTGCACAGACGGTGTCCTCCTGGGGTCATTGGGGAATGGAGCCTGT